GTAGTGTGTGTGTGTGTAAAAATTATTTTACAAGGGCTATTGTGACTAGTGCCAGAAACACAGCATGGCTGGTAGCTGGCTCTAAGCTCACAGATTTTGAAGGGCCCTAGTAAACAACATAATCTCCGATCCCTGCTCCTTAGTTCTCCCTTAATGGTTGAAACACATGAGAAGAGGATAGATTTATTGTTGCCAGGACAGAAAGAGTACTGACCTTCTGGCGGGGGTATCACCTCATCCAGCAGTTTAGGCTTTGTTCGTTTCCAGATCTTTTTGATGACTGCACGGAGCTCCATGTTGGCCACGTCCAAGTCTCCTATAATAGGAATTGGCAGAACAAGACTTTCATAGAATCATGGAGTCAGAAGGTTCCCTATGGACCACTGAGTCCAAGCCCATACTCAGGGTAGGACCTCTAGATAAAGCAGCCCAGCAGGTAGCTGTCCAGCCTTTTTGAAGGTGTCCAGAGAAGGAGACCCCACCACCTCTCTAGGCAATTGGTTCCATTACCAAACTGCTCTCACTGCCAAAAAGTTCCTTCTAATGTTCAAGTAAAAATCTACATTCCTGTATTCAAAAATCTTCTTGAAGATTCCTGCCTTTAGGGACTCATTGTAGCACCGAGAGACAACACTTGGGGAGTGACTCTAGCACTAAGAGGTGAGGCTGAAGTAAAATGGGATGAGGTTGAGACAAGAAAACCTGGGAACAAAGCAAGGACTTTTGGATAGCTGACTTCATGGCAGCAAGATTGTCACAAAGGACATTTTTAGAAGGAACAGAAACCTCAGAGCTTGGGATCAGATCAAATTTTCTAATGCTGAGATTCATGCATATCTCATATTTATGTGTGAGATATGTCAAACATGATGCCAAATGTAATTGTTTCATAGTCAGTGTAGCATAGTGGTTTGAGTGTTGAACTACAACTGAGAAGACCAGGGTTTGATTCCCAGCTTGGCCATAAAACCCATTGGGTGACCCTGGGCAAGTCACACACTCTCAGCCTCAGGGGAAGGTAATGGCAAACTCCTCTGAACAAATCTTGCCAAAAAAATCCCATGATAGGGTCACCTTAGGGTCACAAGAAGTCAGAAACAACTTGAAGGCACACAACAGCAGCAGCAGCAGCAGCAGCAGCAACAACAACAAATAATTGTTTCACTTTTATATTATTAGGCAGCTATTATTTGTGGTCACTATGCATCTTTCCAACCCCTTCTCTATCATAAATCCCATCAAAGCCTAGCAAGAAAGATTAGCAATGTTTTCCCTCTCTGCAGATTTCCAGGGAGGGAAAGCATCTTTGTGCTGGACAGGAAGGACGGTGATGCTCACAAGAGCAGGATGGAAAGTTGCTTCTGGCAAGTGAAGCAAGGGGATTTTGAAAGTCTAGCAATGGCGCCTGGAATGTATACAGTTCTTTCCCTTCATCAGCAAGAAGTGGCTCTGTGTATACTGGGGACATGTGCCATGAGCATCATCTTGTACCTCACCTTCTGTCTTGATCTTAAGGGAGGTCCGCACCAGGGCAAAGAGGGTAGCATTGAAGGTGACAGTTCCATCTGAATTCAGGGGCATATTCATAGCCACTAATCTCTGTAGAGACAAACACATTCAAACCAGAGTTTAGAATTTAGAGAATGTTACTTCTTTGGACTACAACTCTCAAAATCCCTCAGCCAGCATAGTTTCCATTCTCTCCCCGATTCTGCATAGCTTCCATTCCCTCCCCATCCACTATTCCCTTCCCAACTCTGCTCCCTTCCTGACCCATAATAGAAGAAATGAAGGATGAAGTCCTACAATCTGGTGCAGGGATTCTGCTGTGGAGACTTTACTTTCCTAGCTAGAGGGAAGCAGAAATGGCCCATACTTCTGAAGGCCTTTGGAATTACCTTGCAGGCTACTCGGTGGGGACAGAGCTTCCCAAAGCCAAGAGGTGGCTGAATGCGGCGAAGCAGAGTCACTACATCAAGGTGCTTGATACGGCCCCTGGAAGAACAACAGCAACAATGGCAACAACAAAATAGTAGGATTTCCCTTAATTATAGGTTGCTTTTTAGGGGATGGCCCTTCCAAGTCATCTCACATAATGACAAAACATTAAAGAAACAAAAATCCAAACACTGTTAACATCAGCAGATATATGGGAAAATATATACCATTTCATTCACACCTTACCAAAACAGCACTAGATTCCAAGAAATATTCAAATAAAATTAAAAACATTTTAAAGAATAGCTCCATTGATCCAGTAGTCCAAATTCTTAGTACCTCCATTCTGGGACAAAGCCCCCAGTCCCTGTGAGACAAGAAGACTGGGGGCTCATTCCCACTTGCATTTAAACTGGTTTTAAACCGCCAAAAGATCCATCTTCAAAAAAGTGATTCTTTTGCATTTGCCTTGGTTCACCGTGCTTCTCCACAATTCATAGCAAATGCAGTCAGGTCTGAAACCATTTCCAGTGTGAACGAGGGACATATAAACCGATCAGCAGATCAGTTTAAAACATAGTGGGAATGAGCCCTAGGAAGATAATGTTACAACCTTAAAGATTTTTTGAGTGGGTGAGTGTTTAAATTTTTTAAAAACACCTGGGAGAGTGTGTTTGTTGCTGAAGGGTGGAGCTTTGGTCAGTCACATCTGTTAGTCACAAGAAGGTGGAGCTAGCTGCCTAGCTCTATATAACTCTTCCCAGAGGCTTTCCAGGCCAGTCCCTGCCAGGAAGAAGAAGGAAAGCAGTTTTTGGGCAGCCATTTTGAGTGGGTGAGTGTTTAAAAAAACTTCAGAACACCTGGGAGAGTGTGTTTGTCGCTGAGGGGGTGAGGCTTTGGTGAATTTTTTTGCAAGACAAGGGAAAGCACAGCACAGGTAGAAGGGGGCCTGGGAACTTTTGTTTTAGAGATTCTCCTTAAAATTTTTTTAAAAAAATTAAAGGGCTTTTGGGTTGTTGTTTTTTGCTAAGAGGAAGAGAGTCAAAGACTTGCCTCCAGAATAAGGTAGCATCCAGGAGCTCTCTATAGAGTTATAAACCCAGTTGATTGCGCTCGCTAACAGAGCCTGGTGAAAAGGCCAAGCCAACAGGGGCCCTTTTCATGTGTCTTTACTGGGGGACTTTTTGAGGGGGTGGGGCTTACTTAAGAAGTCTTAATATGGACACTGAGGGAGCTGCTGCAGTTACCTGCAACAGTTGTGGGATGTTTATCTTCTTGCCGAGAGATGTGGGGAACTTCATCTGCACCAAATTCAAGTTGGTAGCCCTCATGGAAGAGAAAGTTCAACAGCTGGAGGCCTGGGTAGCTACACTTCAGCATATCAGGGAGCAAGAGTTTTCCTGGAGAGAGCGGAATGAAGTCTTGGACAGGGACCACACAGAGGAAGTTGTTGGGGAGGAGGTCACTTCACACACACAGGAGGTAGACAGCTGGAGAAACATCACATACAGAAGTAGGGAAACAAGGATCATTCTGGGAGCTTGAAGCTACAGAATCAATTTGAAGCTCTCTCTCTTATCAAGGATGAAGAGGAAGATCAGCAGGGACAGTCAGGGACAGTGCAGGGGACCCTGAGAGTACCACTGCAGGGAACAGCCACTGCTAAGCCTCAGAGGAGGCATGTGGGTGGTTGGAGGACTCCTTGTTGAGGGGTACAGAAGCAGTGGTTTGTGGGTCTGACAAGATGTCCCAGGAGGTGTGTTGTCTCCCTGGGGCAAAAATCCATGCTATGACAGTCAGGCTGACAAGACTTGTCAAGCCTTCTGACCATTACCCTTTCCTCTTGGTCCATGTGGGAACCAATGATACTGCAAGGCATAGCTTTCAGAATATCAGAAGGGATTATGAGGCTTTGGGTAGGAAGCTGAAAGAGCTGGATGCACAAGGTGTTATCTCATCTCTTCTCTCATCTCTTCTCCCAGTTGAAGGGCATGGTCCAGGAAGGGAGAGGAAAATAGAAGATGTGAATACTGGCTCCGTAGATGGTGCTGCCAAGAACGATTTAGATACTTGGATCATGGGCTGCGGTTCCATGAAGATGGACTTCTGGCAAGAGATCGGCTGCATCTCCCACCAGTTGGCAGAAACATTTTTGCCAAT